ACTACAGACATACAGCTACCCAAGGAGAGGCTATAGCTCTGCTAGGATTTCTTTAAGACTGTGTGTGCTTTGAACTAAATGCTAACACCAGCATGGTGAACAGGCTTACTGTCACATTGTGGATATTATGATGAGTAGCAGGTAAAATTCAAGCAGCAACTTTCGCTGCTAAAACATGAAGTACAAGTCCCAAGAGAAGAGCAGTTCCTCGGATGGTCACTTGAGGCTGCCTGTAGAAGTGATTCAGTCCCCATAGACCTCCATGTTAAAATGTTAGCAGAAATAAACATGTTTCCACCTGTTTTGGCCTCTATAGCTGGTTTCCCGGTTCATGACAGCTGCAGAAGAGGTACGTTTTTACATAACTGACCCATTTACGTTGCATTAAGGCTTGACGTTATGCATAATTAAGGGTGTGTCTGCTCGGAGTGACAGGTGGCTGATGTTCCAGGACAGCGAGTGACCAGAGATGGTGGCATCATGGTTTACCTCAGATCCACCTCCTGGACAGGAAGCACTGTTAAAATGGCAAACACTTAGAGGTTTGTTCATCTTTACAGTCCAGCCTTCAGCATGTTCATCATCTTTTTTAGCTGGAAACACAAAGTGTTCAGTTAGGAATCAGTTCAAACATGTCTTACCTGGTGCTCTGTGAAATCTAGACATGATCTAATACAGTCTGAGGTCAAACGTGCTGCTAAAAGTGAACGAAGACAAAGAGTCACGCCAGAACCTTCACTGGCTGCTGTGTCTGGGAACTGGTTAAGGAATGTATTTGTGATTATAAAGGTCGGATTCTTTGCTTGCATTTGAGATGCGTTTGGGAGAGCAGGGCAAGATCCTCCATTTATAGAAGCCTAGAATCAAGATTGTAGGAAGGAGGAGAGTGTTGGCCAAAGCAGTGTCGAGACATTTAAGGGGTCCGAGGGCAGAAGAATCAAAAAGTAACTGCATCTGTGTTTATTATTCTGGTTAATACACTTTTTTTTTGCTCTCTTCTAACATGAATTGTGCTTTTCAGATACCTTGCTCAGAGTTCTGGGTTCTTTTGTGTCTATAATATTGTTATTGAAAGAAAAATTGAAAAATAAGGTCGCTTTTATGCACCAGTGTGGCTTGCTTCTATTAATATGGTTAAATAATGGTTAAGAGTGTCAAACGTGACGTGAGAAGTTCGACTTGTGGCCATTTTTGAGTCGACTTTGTGAGTAAATGTGGATGTAGGCTACAATATGCTGAAGTTGTTGTTATATATTGAATTTTTGACCACATATTTTACTCTGCTGTCTTTACTGAGTTAAGGAACAAAGTGTTTCCTTGTTTTCTGTCTTGTGTCATGTGTTCAAGCTGCTTTGATTCAGCTCTGGGTGCTGTTTTAGGTCTTTCTTTTAACAAACAAGGTGATTATTATTTTAGATGTATGATCAGCACTCTCAGCACTGTTTTTGGTATTTCATTTTATATCTTTAGGTGTGCATATATACACTATGTACATTATATTATGTGCCTGTTGAGACCAGCTGATCCGTCAGGTGAGCCGCGGTGGTTTTTCTTTGCAGGCAGCATCTCTGCACGATCCTTTGAAGAACAGTGTTGACGCTCAGAGCATCACCATGAGGTAGCAATTATTAAATGCTCTGGTATCGGATAATAATCTGCAATAAAATATTCTTCAAAATTCAACCTGAGGGGATGTCATGTAGAGCAGTACAGCGAGCAAGGCGGCGAAGACAGCCTTGATCAAAAAGGCCTCAAACCAGAGTGACTTTAACTGATTAGGAACTCTCTAACGCTGCATGTTAATTCATTGTGATATGAGTAGCATCTCGCACAGCAGGGGATTTACCAGAGGCACTGCTAAACTAGTGATCCATCCTAATGACTGCAAAACAAATATCTGTCCACTGCAGCTTTAGAAGTGAGCCTGCAGAGCTCCGCTGATCTCCTCTTTTACTCGCCTACAACACACACTCATGGGCTGTGTCCTCAGATCAGAGGACAATGGCCGGGTGAGAGTTACTGCTAGCACTGCTCAAGACCTCAGTATGTGTGTGAGCATTCGCTCGCTTTCTCACGGCCCTTAAGAAGAAAAGAGGCCTTGTCTGGTTCCATTAGTGACCTGAGCAGCAGCAGCAGCACCACTCGGCCCCGACTGACTGGAGGACAGCGCTGATTAGGCAGCAGCACATCCACAGAGTTCAGCCGGAGAGGAGAGAGACATGGTACAAGAAGGAGATGAAGGAGGTGGTGTGCAAGTATAATAAGAGTCTCAGCTGTTTAAAGCACAGACATTTGGTTGTTTACCTCTAGTGTGTAAGAATGATACACAGGAGCTGGCAGTGAGGACAGATAATAACTTTAAAGGAATAGTTTTAGGGAATTTGCTCACTTGGTTTCTTGCAAGAGTTGGATGAGAAGTTTAATCTCTGTTCCCTGTGAATGTGGTTATTAAATATGAAGCTACAGCCAGAAGGTCTCGACTGAGTTTACACAAAGAGTGGAAACAGGGAAGTAGTTGTTCAAAACAACCCAGTAGAACCCCTAAAGTGCAATCTTCACATGTTATATTTAGCTTGTTTAATCGATAGAAAACCCAAAGTAAAAAATAAAACCTTCTTCTTGCCACTGATTTCCTCTGTAAAACCACAACTTGGTGTTTTGACATTTCAATTTTTTGCACAGACGAAACAAACAAGATATAACACGTCAATGGTTTAGTTTAGGAAATGCTCTGAGGTGGAATTTTTTTCTTACCTTTAAACAGAGCTGAGTTGGTCGTTTAAAACTTTCTGGAACATTACACCAACAATCTCCTGACTGTAGTATATTTATCCAGCAGATATTAAAGTGGTGATGATGTTCCCATGTGAAAAAAAAGTCTAAATATTGCTTTAAATCATAAAGTTTGAAAGCTCAGCACTCCGTTTAGAAAATATTTAGGAAGACGTTCTTCTAACCTCAGCTGATGAAAGTACACCTGTGCTTCAGTTTAAAAAAAACCTTTTGGATCACAGAAAATAAAGATGGAAAGTAAAAGATCAAAAACAAGAGACAACATTTGCAGGCAGGCACAGATGAAAAGAGAAATGAAAGTGTGAATAAAAGACAAGGAGGTAAACTAAAGGAATAAAAGTGTCACAAGAGAAAAGCAGAAAACATGAGCAGGAGTAATATTATATTACTTTATTTATCTTTTGTACAATGTAATTACAATACAAATATGTTGGTTTAAATACAAAAATTCTGTAAATAAAGATTAAAAATAAACTCCACTGGTTTGCTTTGTTACCATCACTAAACTATGGTTTTACAATCAAGTTTATGAGGTCATTTAGTTTGCTTTAACGCGGAACACAATTAACCTACATTTATAATTTGGAGGGCGTGCAAACAAGAGTCGGGGGCTAAAATATATCTTGGATGAAACAAAAGTTCATGAGTGAATCGGTCGAGTTTTGTAGAGAAAGGAAGGTAGGAAGAGCTTTTGTTCAGAGAGGAAGAAGTGTAGAAAACAAAAGACGATCCGAGGTGGTAGAAATCAGACGAGTGGCTCATAAATTTAGACTCTCTGAACGTCCATCCCATCAGACGGGGTCGCTGCCACAGGAAGAGACCAAATAAGCTAATTAAACTGTGGGGAGTTAATGAGCAGGAAATCTAATCAGTGGCAGTCCACATCCATACAATTCAATTCCCGAGGAACATAACAGGAGCATCTCTGGTTGGATCGCAGGTTTCATAACGGACAGAAGCGACCTGTGGAAAAGCCCTTCGATAGAGAACATTTCTACTCTGTGATGGTGCGTCTTCTTTTTTTTTGACAGCATTGGAGTTTTAACTATAGAAGGAGTTGCACAAAAAGAAATCTTGCTTGTGAGATTGCAATTATACAATCAGCGGCTTTTTTTTTTTCCGTATATGATCGAGAGTGTTTCTGAGGTTTTAAGAGTTGAGGAAGATGACGCTCGAATGAAAGCAGCTCGGCCTCGAGAAATAAAGACGGCAGACTGTGCTCGCCATGAATGTGTCTTTGTTGTCAATATTTCCGCACAATCTGCCTCCCGCTTTTATCTCGTCTTATCTAATGTTCCTTCCTTCTGACTTCCTCCGTCTCGCTCTGTAAAGGTACGGCCCCGTTCTCTCCCCCAGTCGCTCACATGCAGCTTGTCCTTCCTCTGCTGGCAATCTACGCTTCTACTGGTACATTTTGCTTCTCTCGTTTTTTGTTTATTTTTTCATTCTCCATGCCTGAGTTTGTATCTGCTCACGTTCCTCTTCTCTTTTCACCTCACATCATCTGCTCTGAGTGCAACACTACAGTCGAGGTGAACACACAATCACACTGATGAGACTTTACCCTGTGTTTGAACACATAAAAGGATTCATGAATGTTGGAATGTAGTGCATTATTTTTTTTTAACCAGTTGCACAGTGTTGTTAAGTTTTTCTTTCTTTTTTTTTTCATTTCCACTGAGTTGTTCAAGTTCCTTGGGTTTGTCTGGTGAAGATGGAGTCCAGAGGACTGCTGTGCTGTAGTGTCCAGAGTGTCTGTGTGCTGGAGATCCTGAAGTGATTTTTCATGTCCCGGTGGCCTCGAAGGCAGGCGCTAGCAACAGAAAACGGGCTACACGGCCGAAGTGAAGCCACGCGGACTCGGCTGGCCCCTGCAGCAGTGGAGCATATATATGTGAGGGCGGAAGAAACATGCCGCTATATACACTTGTCTGACATGTCACACTACACAGCTGTACTGTCAGCCCCGACTATTTGGTTCCTGTTACATGGTTTCCCACAATGCGTTCCCTGTACTACTGCCCAACCACACCTGTTCACCGCCTGCTACCTGTAGCGTCCCTACTCTGCACGATTCAACAAAAATAAATATAGGGGGTAAAAAAAACAACATGCTCCTCAAACACTGCTTTAAATTTTTTTGATTTTTAAGTACACATAACTTGTTAAAATAAAAAATAAAATACAATAAATAAAATAATTTTGGCCATAAATCTCTACTATTGGTCAGTAAGTCCTTTTGGGTGGGTAGGGTTGAGTCTCACATCGTTGGCCAGTCCTTTCAGGTGTCCAATCTTCTGCTGTGCTTCGCTAAGATCAGCATCAATCAGCCGACAAACTGCTTCTCTGTTTCTCTGCATATCTTGTGTGATGTAACCACATCTGCTAAAAGTCTCCACCCAAAATCAAGCAAAAACTGCCAAAAATAGCTCATGGGATTGGAATGCATCTGAGTGGAGTCCCCTTTTAAAGAAAGAAACCACCGAACTGTGTCCCCCCGCCACAACGTTCTCAGAGGAGGCACATGCAGTACATCCAGGGGCCTGCAGCAGGTAAAGTAAAGCCAGAGTGGAGAAGTGAAAGCAGGGAAGAGAGGCAGGTAGCGGGTGGAGTGGAAGGATTCAGTCCATCAAGTCCAGAGAGCTAGAGACCTGATCCTCCGACAGCAGCCCAGCAAACTGCTAAGTTTGTCTCTGTCTCGCATGGGAGAGGAAAGAAAGCAATTAAGATCATTGTAGCACTGACTCCTATGAGAGCTTTTAGCAAATTGCTGGGCTGCACGGGGCTTCCCATTTGAAGCAAACATGCTGGAGTTAGGCCTCGGGCTTCAACTCCAGGACTAGTGCTACAGCTTTGGGAGGCCAAGTCTGGCTTAGAGCTCAATTTCAAAAGTCTTCTGCAGATTGTTGGAGAAAGGGTTGGCTGCTGCAGCCGGCGCCTTGTTCCCGGGCTGCTGAGGCGCTGGCTTTGACTCCAGCGCTGCCCACTTTGCCTCAAAGCGGTCATCGTCTTGAGAGTCGCTGACCACCGGAGCTGTGAGTTGGCTGCCCTCTGGAGGCCAGCTGCTACCGCTGCCACCGTTCCCGCCACCGCCCGAGGTCCCGTTCTGGAGGGCCGATGTGGCGCTGCTGTGCGGCGGGAGGCCGTTGAGGGCTGATGACAGTGGTGGAGTGGAAGAAAATGGAGGTGTAGAAAAGCCTCCACTGTGTCCAGCTGCACCAGATGTTCCTGGATAGGAATGGAGCGCTGCCACTTTGGATCCTCCACTGGCTGAACCCATAGCACCTCCAGCGCCTGATGAGCCCGTGGCAGTGCAGAAAACATTGGCCACCATTTGTGACGGTGTGATGCCCACCACGGGCACGCTGGCGTTGGGATAGGTCATACTGCTCGCCAGGCCTGGCATGTAGGTCTGCATGGGCACGAAAGCAGGTTGGACCGGCTGGCTGGCAAACATTCCCACAGGGGCTGGAGTGGTGTCAAAGGCCAAGGGGAACGGCTGCATGGAGCTCGGAAGGGAGCCTGGGGGTCCGGGGAGGGAGGGCTGCAACATGGGGGCCCCTGACATGCTTGGACCCGACATGGTGGGGATGGACATGGAAGGAAGAGACATCGGGGGGCCTGACACCGGAGGGCCCGGTATTAGAGGGACAGATGATATGGACATGGGTGGGAGGGGCATCGGGGCCTGACCTGGGAGAGCAGATGGGCCCGAGATGAGAGGCTTGGACATGGTGCCAAGAGACATGGGGACAGTGGACACTGGGGCAGCCGGCAGGACCGCCTGAGTGGACATCTGATGGCTGGAAATGGGGGGCGGTCCGGGGATGGTGGGGATGGTGGGTCCTGGGGGAGGGGTCTGCTGGGCCTTCACGGCCTTGGAGACCTCCTCCAGCCATCTCTCGGCCTCGGAGGGCGTGCGCTTGTGGCCGCTCTGCATCTGCATCTGCATCGCCACGGAAACGGGAGGAGGAGAGTGCAGCGGAGGTTCTGCTTGGACCCAGGAGGAGGTGGCTGCAAGGGATAAAGCAAAAGCTTAGAAAGTGCACAAACTCTCTGACCACTGAGTTCCAAGACCACGCTGACAAACAATCAAAATGACTATCGATCTGAGGCAGCCTTTCTCACCCTGCAGCGGCGCAGGTGGTGGAGGCAGAACAGGGGGCACAGTGCAGGCTGGAGGGCCGTTGGCAGACATGGAGGGGTTGGAGAAGAGCTCGTCTGATGGCTTAGCGAAGGAGGTGTTGATCTGGCTGCACAAGGCGTTAATGCTATTGTCTCCCTCGCAGGGCATTCCCATGTCCATGTCTGGTACCAGCAAGAAAGGGACACACAGAGGGGAGGGAGAGGTGGAACGGGATAGGAGGAGGAACAAACAAACACAGAGAGGGAAAAAAAAACAATATTTATTTAATTGTGTAACAGACCCAGTTAGAATCAAAAGCACAGAAACTGGAGCAGATGAACACTTTGATTCTGGCTGCTACTGACCTAAAAACGATGGTGAAAAAAACACAAGTTTCTCAAGACAAACATGCTATTGTGCTACTTGCTAAAAATAAAAAAGGTTTAAACCTAATCACAAGGATGATTTCAGCCTGTTTTGTTGTGCCTCGTGCTGCTTGTGCGTTAGGACATCTCAGATAAAGGTGAATTTGACTTATCCATGTTTTGAAACCAGCTGTAACTGATCTGACCGGTCAGGCATTAAATTACTGTCTGACTTTGGTTTGAACTGCAGCTTTAAACCTTTTCTGCACAGACCGCAGATAAAAATAGATATAATATCTAATTCCCAGTTCATTGTCCCCTGGTCCGTCCCTTCACAACCGCACAGACAGAAGATTTGTTTCTTCCCTGCCTCTAGTTCCTCATCTTTCCTTGTCCTTCCTGGTAGAGAAGCTGACTTCTTTCACACTCGAGGAAAGTTTTTAACACGCTCATGCATGCGTAGAAGAGTGGGAATAAAGTGAAATAGATGAATACATGTTTGCCACAGATGGGCCCATTGTGCGGGAAGCCCTACTGCTGTGCAATTCAAGCCCACTCTTCTAAAACACGTCGGCTATATCTCTCTCAACTGCGTGCATTGTACGGCTACAGGCCTTGAATTATGCTGGAGGGGGCAGAGGGCGCTGGAGGCATGTGTAAGGGCTCCCATTAAAGATTTCTCTGTGCCTGGCTCTGCCAAGACCGACCCTGCGATCCCTCTCTGTTCCTGCCCTTTCATTGTCCCGCAGAGTTCAGAGGCACTCGAAGCTCTTCATGTGAGTCGAACCGTGTGTGTGTGTGTGTGTGTGTGTGTGTGTGTGTGTGTTTTCCTCAGTGCGGTGGCAGGTTTAAGGAGAAGACTGGCTGAAGGCTAACCAGGACAGCTGATTGACCGCACAAATCAATACGCACATTGTTCAGGGAGTCACAAGGGAGCAGGGAGGCAGAGGAATCGGCTGCTACTACTTAGTGCATCTGAAAGGAGAGAGGGAGGACTGTGTGTATAGGATTCACAACTGGATATATACGCTAATCATCACCGGCGAAAGATGGAAATCAAAGGCTAGACGAGGAGAAATAAAGCGAGAGTGGCTGTTGGATGTTGTGGTTTAGTATTCCAGTCATAGCAGCGACTCTCTCTCATCTCTCCTAATGACTATAATCAGCGTGGCTGCTGAGCTCTCTGATCCTGTGGCACCACACCGAGAGGGTGTGTCCACATGTGTGTGTGTGTGTTTCCGTCTTATGTGTGCGTCAACCTGTCAGGGCCAAGTCACTTAATATTAATTGTCCTTTGAAAAAAAAAAAAAAAAAAAGGAAAAGCAAAGAGCTCTCAGACTCTCAGACAGACAGCGGCCATCAGCGCCGTCGCTAATAGCAGCAACAGCAGCACTTCACTGAACTGCTTTTTATCTTGCCAAGCAGTCTGCGGAAGGTACGCGTCGCGATTAAACAGAAGAATTACACCTTGACTGCATGGAAGTATGAAAATAAATCCGTCAGAGAGGTGCTGAAGGTTTATTAGGTAATGTGATTAGTCAGACCTCTTCAGATGGAGGTCAGCGATGCCACGCCGAAGCCAAATGGAAAATGTAATAACGTTCCAACAAACAACCGTGACGCAAGTGGAATGCGGTCCACGTAGTGCTCCCTGACTTCTATGGAAGAACACATTTGAGTTTGCAAAATCCTAATCTAGCATTCCTTTTTGTGTTTGCAAGTGCGAGATCCCATCTGATTCCACCGTGAGTCATTCTGATACCGTGTAGTAAATGAAACATGGATCCAGGAGGAAGTCAGCGGTGCCACGGCCTAACGGGAGCCTTCAGCATCAGCAAGTGAATATCATCAACCTCAGGCTCATGCCTATTGTACAGAAGCTAGTAAACACAGTTTTATTAAGTTCATTTTTTCAAACTTTCTATCAGATATCTGACGAAAGAGATGTGAGACTGAGTGGGAGGAATTAATGGTGTCAGTCTGGTCTCTGAAACCAGCTTCCTGCTGCTGACACACAAGTTAGTCTTTCTCTTGTGTTTTTCTATAGTTAATTAATTGGAAAAACACACAACACTGAAGCAAAATGTGACTCCATTCCCTCTGAGGGACTGTGTAAACATCATGTAAGTGGACACGTTTCTACACCGTCTGAAGCATTGTTTGTTTTCTTTGGACGCTTCCCTTCATGCAGGTCACCATAATAAACCACTGTTGAGTTAATGGTACAATTTGTCTCAGAGTTAAAGTGAAGAAAGAATTTAATATAGTGTAGCTTCATATTGGGGAACCATTATTTTCACACAACTGCTAAATAAGACATCAGGAGTGGAAGAGAAGCAGCAACAGGAAGCATAACTGTTTGTGTTTTAGAACGACTAAAGGCAGTTATTACTGCTGTGGATGAAACGAATGTGAGTTAAACTGTTGCTCTGTTGCTGCTGAAGCCCCTTTGCTCTGCAGTTCTTGTTCCCTCCCCAGACTCCATGGTTGGGACCCTAATCAACGGGGTTCACTGGGGTCAGGAGGTCAGCAGGTGTCCTCATTCTGCCGCCATTTGTGGGTCAAACTTCAAAAGCCTCTCAACTCACCGGGGTTGTCGGCCTGGAAGTCGGTCTTGCGTTGCAGCGTGGACGGCAGGTCGTTGAGGCGGAGTGACAGCTGCCTCTTGAAGGGAGAGTTCTTCTGGCTGAGCGCCGGAAATCCCCGAAATGAGCCCTGACGAACCAGCTGCTCGATGGGCGCGTGGCGGCGAGGGATGGCGTGGGGCCCGCCTGGTTCTGGGCGATCCATGGGGGACGCCGCACCTTGGGGTGGGGAGGCGGTGCCAGGTGGGAGGGCTGGGATGACTGAGGGCTGATCTGGAAGAACAAAAGGTCGATCAGGACATAGTTCCTCCAGCACGATGTATAAATCTGTGCTCACACACGATCCCAGGAATCTGCTTTCAGACTGTGTGTTGCCTTGAACAAGCAAATGTAGGACGTCTGCCTTTTTTCTCTGACTTTAATAAACAGCTGTAGCGTCCCACACCGTCAGTGATCTCATCGGGTCGGCTCAGAAGCCATTCAGCACCATCAGAATTGTTGATGCATTTTTATTTTCAGCTAACATTGTTTCCAAGGACTGTTTTTTATCAAAGTGGATTATTATGGAGCCTTTTTCAGTTTTGCTGCTTAAGTGCAATAATATTTGCTGTAGTGGCACGAACTGATCTAATCACTGAGGTAAATAAGAATAAAGACAGACAGCCCTGAATGAAAACACTCTTTATCGTCCTCAGCCTGGAAGTTGTGCACAGTTTAGTTGTGTTAATGCAAAGATATGTCTGGTGTTATGTGCCGTTTTAAACTAACACTAACTGAAGAACTGATTCATATTTCTGATCTGGACACAAATCCAGTGTAACCCGTCTATATACGACACTGACAGTGCAGTTTGCTCTGCATGTGCCTGACATTTAACATTTTGCGGGTCAAGTCTCGTTTCCCCCTTTATGAGCAATAATCACTGTGTGCGCCCTCCTACCTTTCTTCTTCTCCTGCAGCTTGTCATCTCGCTCGCTGCTGCTGCCCTGCTGGCTGCAGGACGAGTTTCCGCGGAAGGAGCCTTCACGCACGAACGAAGTGCGGCTGGCGTCAAAGGAAGCCGTCACGCCGCACTCCTTCTCCCGGCGCTGCTTCCTCTCCAGACAGGCGGCGAAGGCACAGCCGACTGCATGGCTCAGCCTCTCCCCCTGCAGCAGGAAACAAAAGGCGTTTAAAACAAACCTTCCCTCAACCTGGAGGATCAGAATTGATCACACACGGCTGTCATTTGTTCAGTGACAACATTCAAACCACATTCATACATTTGTGTAAGTACAGCTTAGCAGGCTCAGGGTGCAATTATTAACCTCAATTAGTTCATGTTGTCAAACGTCAGCGTGAGTTCAGGCCTCTGGCTCTGAATGCAACTAATTCCAACCTAAGTTGTGCAATTAATCCGTCTTCTTTCCCACTAAATCCCCAGTACTCTGTCTGCCTGCTTCTCTTCTTTACAAAGCAGCCGTGACAGCTATAGGGGAGTCTGTTCAGTTTAAGATGAGCAGATAGAGATATATGGAGTGTGTAGTGGAAATAGAGACAGACAGAGATGGGCGCGTACGTAACTCCACAGGCTTCTGTCTAATCCTCTCTCCTAATCCTGCAGGTCTGTGCTGCGTTCTCTTCTGTCCACATTAATAATCCAACTCAGAGTCTAAGCTGATGAATCTACCGTTGGGCTGAAACCACAACACACCATGACAGCACCGCTTCTTTACATTTCAACCCTCTCGTTCCAAGGTCAGTGAAATGGTAGTCCAGCACAGCCGGACCCACGGCGTCTCTGCAGCGATTCACATGAAAAACACAAGTTTGGAGTCGGCTGTTCTAGCAACAGCTCAGGAAAATTGTCATAAAAAATGCAGCGTATTGATTTATTTGGCTACCGCAGCTGCACTTGCAGACATTAGTGCCACAGAAATAGTCGGTGTGTCCACATAAATCCATGCTTGACGGACTGCAGTGCACGTTAGCGTAAGTTCATCATTTAAAATAAAGTTAATTACTGTTTTATTATTAGTTTTTCTCTTTACCTCTATTCACTAATTAACTGTTTAGTCTAAGAAATGAAACCAAGAAAACAGATAAAAATATAAACTTGACTCATGATTGATTCACTGGATTGAAAAATTAGCGCAAAATTCACATAAATGAGTAAAACTTTAATGCAGCATTGAAGTGAAGTGATTATTACGACCTCAGTGAAAAGCCCCACTGACATTTAAATAACATAAAATCAAGACTTGGAACATAATCTTACTCAAAAGTGCGTTGTGTGGTTCAGCTTGATTAGTCTAGATAACAACAGTTGTTTTAAAAAACATCTAATATGATTGTTGATTCAGTGATTTTAGCAGGCATTTAAAAAAAAAACACCATTTCCCACAATCCCTTGCCCACAGCAGGTACAAACATCCGGCTGCTGTAGGCGTTTCAGACAGCAGAGATCACAGCTAAATACGGCACGAGTACACATGCTACTGTGCTGCTGCATTTAGAGAGCGGTAGTTATTAATATGCTAATTAATTATTTGTAGCTTAATTTAAAATTTATGAAGGTTTTCACGTTTAATAGTAAGTGCTGTGAGTGCCGGTGTAATTTGAAATATGTAAAGTACGCCTCAGAAATACACGAAGCTTCTCAAAGGGGCCAATTAACCGTCATCCTAACCCCGAAACCTGCTGGAAGACGTGAAGGCACGCTGTCTTTGAAAAAATTACATCAATTATCACGACCAGAAACTGTAAAAGCAAAAAGAGTTGTTCAGCTTTCTAACGTTCCTGAGGACGAGGTGCTCCATTTGAGCCAAAGTAGGTTTTTTGGGGGTTTTTTTCACATCTAAAAAAAAATTCAGCTTTGGTTTCTTCTTTTTTATACTTTTGTCATTAGAACTGCGTCACAGAGGAGCTTTCTGAGTTCTCTGAACAGGAGCAAAAATAGAAGCTGTTTGGAGTTCAGAGGATTAAAGACTTTTTTTTTTTTGCAATCATTTACAGAAGCTAGTGGAACCAGCCCAGACGTGACGTCAGGAGTTTGCCATATCGATAGTGAAGGGCACGCTGAAGGTGAACCGTCCTCTCACCGAGTCTTTCAGAGCCATGAAGCAGTGGCACATCCACCGTCTGGTCGTCCCGTCTCTGCAGATGTAGGAGAAGGCCTTGTCATAGTTACGATCAGGAGCGCAGAAGGAAACCTTCTCTATGGTCTGGTCCACAATGAGGTCCTGAGGGGGGGCAGACAGAGGAAATGAATCAGGGAGAACCAGACTCGACAGCTCTCACAGTGAAATCCAGCCAATCGAATTGTTCCAGCAGGTAAATCGCATCAAATCACATCTGACACGGTTTCGTGTCTCTAACTGCAGCCTAACAGATGACAAACAGGAAATATCACCGCAATACTGGGCAGGGTAGCTGACAGACCGGTGCGGTGCTTGACACACTGCTTTCAACCCCACTTAACCCCATGATCCCCCCCACAGCCCACGCCAGCCGATTTACACATCCACCGATGACAGAAAAGAAAGTGACTACAGGCTAATGACACTGAGCCCACATTTAATCTCGGGGATGTTTCCACTACTTGCTCTTCCTTCTATAAAAGGGTTATTCAGCCGGTCTCAGCGTCTATAGTGGCCATAGAAGGACTAAGAGGGGCCCCTGTCCTTCTCTGTGTACATTAAGGGGCCCTGGGCTCACCTCTTTGACTCACCGAAAACCAGAATGGGACGGAAAACAAGAGAAGAAAGAGAGAGGGTTCACACACTCATCCACACATTTCCTTCCTGTCTTTCAGTGTCTCGGGAAACAAAGAGAGGGGAGGATGAGGAGGGAGGAAGGACGGGAAAGGAGGAGAAAGGAAGGAGGGATGTGAAGAGAAAGAGGTGGAAGAATAACAGTCCATTCAGCGAGGGCCAATTAGCGAATGAAGGGGGATGCTGGTACCGAGGTGAAAGGAGGCCAGTGTGTGCGTCTCTCTTCATCTCTGCGTTACGGTAAACACGCAATACCGTATGTATAAATGTGTTTTATTAAGATTTATAATTCTTTCTGCTCTTCTGAGGAATTCTTCTGGTGACCCGTGTGGCGCTGAGGGTGGGATGACTCAGACTGAGTCCTTACATCACTGAAAGAACGAACACAGTCCGGCAGAATGTGACTCAGGCTGTGTCATCTGTGCAGACAAGTCTCACAAAAAACCGCTGAATGGATTAAGACTTCGCTGTTTCTTTCTATTGATGGTGCGTCGCGAAGGTCATGCAGAGCGTAATGCACATGCATACATCCACGTTTACAGTGCACCGGCAGACTGTGGGAATAATAGCTGTGTGGGTGTGAGATGATTCATAGTTCAAGAGATGACGAAGAGGCAGAGAAAGAAAGATGGAGCGAGGCGATGGTAAGGATCATAACTGCTGGGTGCGTAAGCATATTTTAGATTTAACCTGAGTCAATTTATTGTTCAGTGTGTAAACACAGCAACTATTTTGACAAATACTACGCATCTGTGTATGTCTGTATACAGAATATCATCACCATATGAGAAGGTGTTTTATCTGTGGTTTATTTATTGTACAGACACACTGGAAAACAACATTCATTCAGCAAAACTTAGTTCAGTATTGATCTTTTTTAGCTCTGTTTTGGGCTCCACCACCTCCTGAGGGGAATATCCGGCTATTCATGTGCTTAACTGTTTAATATTAAATGTGTCACCAGCTGGTGGCTGTTTATTTCTGTATGTTTAACAGCATATAGCAAATAACTGGTTGACAGTAAAAGGGCTTTTTCTTGCTGAAAATTACACAAGTGTGTCTGGGAACTATGAAGATGAGATCAGTGAGTTAAAATAGACTAGAGGCAAACAGACACACTTTGATAAGCACATAACGCTGTGTAAACACTTATATAAAAACCCCATTCAAACACATTTACTACTGCGCTCAGCTTGTCATCTGAAACTTTAAAATTATTTAAATATTTCCAAAGAGAAATGCTTTTGAGATTTGATGGTAAAAGAGGAAGAAGAAGAAAACAAGGCATAAGGTACGTAAAAACAAGTTCAAGTCCATTGGTTCCTTCTCAAACTGTAAATCTTCAAAGTTTCATTTTGCAATAAACAGGTGGGCCTGCAGCTTTGGATTAATTTCACCTGCAGGATTAATTAAAACCAACTACACTGTCCATATTTGTGGTGCTAAAAGAACACGTCGCACAATGCAACAGTTTTTTAACAGCTCCTGGAGAACAACGGAGCTCTGTGGTGCAGAGGAGTGAGACATATCAGACGTAAATGTGATTTATGACTCAAAAGAAGAAAGGAGGAAAGGGTTTAAAGTGGAGGGAGAGAGGAGGAGTGGGACTGGGAGACTGGGAGAGGTGAGGTCATGTGTGTGGCCTCTAAACAAAAAAAAGGGAAGTGAGAAAGAGGCCGTTCTGTTGGCTTTGCTCTCTGCTCTGTTCTGTGCTGCTCTTTATTCTGCTCTGCTTTCAATGGAGCCACAGCGAGCTGCACTCGCTGCAGGAGGCCTCCCTCACCGCCAGACACTCCTCAAGTTCATGTGTGTCTGTGTTTACTTGATCTTCCCTCCCCCACCAAGCACCTTTAGGAAGCCACCCTGACTCACATACGTCCGCTATGATACACAATGCACACATGTACAATCCTAAACGAGCCTGAAACAGCACAGTTCTGCTGTTAAACTGGACCAGAAGTTGTTTTTGATGGATGCAAATTGTGTGCTTTAACTGAATACGAGAATATAAAAAAGGAAAGATGGTTCACAGACAGGTGCGTGGTGGAGGGGTGATAAGCTAAAAGCATCGGAGAGCTCGCAGAAACATTTTTATCTTCTTCTGACCTGCTAATGCTGGTGTTTTGCTCTCTGGCTGTCATCTGAAAACAGATAGAATACCTGTGTGCTGTGTTGTGTACAGCTACCAGAAACAAATGCGTCCTCCTTGTCTAGTTGCCAAGTGAGCGATAAGGTGGAGGAGACAGAGAGGAGGACGACACAAGGAGACGCAGGCAACACACAGCAAAAAATGTGTTTTCTTACCTTAGTTTTGTCATCCACCACCCTGAGTCCATCGGCTGAAACCCACAACACTGCTTTTACTGTCTTTTTGCCACTCTGGAAAGACAAAAACAGGCAGGACTAAATAATGTAAAGCGTTTGGGGCACGTGTTAACGTTGCATCGTAAATGTTCTTCAACCATGTGCCCATTGCACCAGATGTTTTCCAAGCAAATAGTGTGATCAACAAGCTTGTAAGAAAGCATGTAAAGCCACTTTTATTCCTATCCGTGGTTACGTAAAACGATGATTACATCCTTAGCAGATGAGGTAGTGGAGGGTTAAGAGCGGAGAGGCGGGCAGAGGTAAAAACTGTGCCAGCTGGCACTAAGAATCATTTCTCCAGAGGAGGGCACCAGGCAGCGCTAATAACACACTCAGCATGGGCCGCGCTAAAAATACACAGGCAAAAGAAGAAAAAAAAAGAAAATCACGGACTCCATGTGAGTGTGGGAGCGTGCATGTGAGTGTGTACATGAGTCTGCATATGAGTGTGTGTGAGTCAGGGAAACAGAAAGCTGGAGCTCTGCAGGAAATGGCTTTGAAACCCACAGCGAAGCAATAAGGAGCCCCGATTTTTGCATAATCCCATTGACAAGAAGAGAGAGGGAGCGAGAACAGAGGTGGAGAATCTGAGAGCGATGGAGGGGAAAAAAAGGAGCGCAGAAGGAGAGGAGAGCTAAACAAAGAGATGGAGCGGGGACTCAAAAGAAAAACTCTGGAGCAAAGTTTTCCATTTGAGCGACTGCAGAGAAGGCTGATAAAGAAAGATGCTGATACAGACGGAGGCTGGAAGGAAGCAGAGGTGACGCAGCCGACAGAGTCAAGAGTAAAACACGTGAAAAGAAACGGAGAGGAGAATTAATGCATGAAACACTGCAGCTGTTAAACTGGCTGTGATTCAGTTCACTTTAACAGGATTTCTGCCTGAGATTTCCAGAGAGGTGTGAGAAGTGACATTCCCTCTCAGGGTTAAGATTCAGACTGATTGTGTGCTGGAAACATGAACGCCACCACTCTAGCTTTCATTTCATACATAATAGCCTGGTTTTATTCCAGTTATGTGACGGAAAAGCAGTTGCAGAGCTACAGATGTGAAGATTGTGAAGTTTCTGAGTGTGTGTGTGTCTGACATGGGCCAGTCTGTGTCACGGTGTTCACACGCTCCCTGTCCAGTCCAGCCTCCCAGGGGGGCAAACTGACCGAGTGTCGGTGTGTTTGTTTGTGTGTGTTAGCCCAGATTTTAGACAGATAGAAAGGCTGATGAGCAGATAGACAGATGTGGAATAAGACCCACCGGGGAGGCCGATTAGAGCGCTAAAGAAAAGAAAATAACAAGAAGTTAGAGGTAACTGCAGAGAATGAGTGTGTGCTCTTTGGTCGATACCGCTGGTGCATGAGCTGTGTGAAAGTGGGTCTGTAATGAGCTCCAGCGAAGTTTGTAGGTCCTTGGGGTGAGTGTTTGTAACTGCTTCTACACAACAACATCTACCTCCAGCACTGCAGCACAGTGTGCGTGTGGGATACTTACAACTTTTAGCTTCTTCACTGCCTCCTCGCATACGTGCATCCCTCTCGACTCCTCCACCTCCACCAAGCCCAGGTACTGCGGAGACAAGAAGGCAGAGGAGCTGAAACCAAACACTGTTTCCGTTTCATTTGTGTTAACAGTGCTCCTCATCTAACCTCGCCAATAAAGCAGAATGAGCTGAACTACGTCGAAACAAAAGAACGTGACAAAGTGACATAAAAGCGACCAAAGCCTCATTAGTCTCTATCAGTATTTCAATAAGTGCTATGAAATTGACAGGCGTGTAGCTAACAGGCAGCCATGCTGGATTTTACCGCCGTATGTTGGTGCTGATAATGAGGACAGGGGAGAGAGTGAGAGGAGGACTGGAGTCATTTATAGCCTCACATCCCCTTTTGTTGTCTCTCCAGTGCTCCGTTCTGTGGAGCCCATGGGGACACAATTAAAGCTCCCACAGCTCGGCTGGAGTCAGACGCCATGTGACGAGGAAAGAAGACGACGAGTTTTCTGAGTTTCAAGGAGAGCTGCGACTTTTAAGACGGCAGATCTCTCAACTAAAGCACCTGTTGTAAACAATACGCAACCAGCTGTGGCAGCTTTCTGTGTGGCATTTGTTTTTCTCGGGAAACAAAATTGAATATTGTAGAGACATGTCAATATTAGATCCACAGGAATGTAGAGGTAGAAAACACACTGGAAAGAACGATGGAGAGATTATCAGGTCAGCGTGAGAAGTGCACGTTTAACTGTTAGCATACGATGATCTGGTCAGAGCACGTCTGCGGAACGAGGTACGTGTGAAATAAATATCATTGTGGATTTCTCTGCAGATGTCCACATGCAGCCCAAAATGTGTGTCTGTGCAGCGACTACGTTATAAGAACAGTAACACACAGGCTCAGCAGGAGTGATGTGTAGAACACAGAGATGCCAATTGTGAGGACCCCAGAGGTCGTCTTGTGGGTGGTTCTAGTTCGTCTATTGGTTCTGTGAGTGGCTGTTTGATGTAATCAGGAGCACCTGTGACACCCAGTGTGTTCCTGGGTCACTTAAGGGCTGACTGCAGTCTAATCACGCTCTGCTTCCCTCTGCAGGTAACACAGCGGTCTGGTTATGGGGCAGTTTTCTTTGTTTAGGATGTTTGCATTCACAACACTCGCACAGACATAATTCATGCATACATCACACACACACACATACACCACTGACTCTGTGTTCTCACAACCCCAGACTGGTTTGGCTTTTAATTCAGTATAATTTAAGTGAATTCGTTAATTTTTGAAACTTGGTGTGTCTCTCCTTTTTCGAGTCAGGTCGTCACAAATGGGGGCTCGTCCACTGAGATCATAACGTCCGTTCAGGTGTTTTGTTTATGTCTTGCGTCTTAGGTAGCAGCAGGCACATGTGGTTGATTGCCCACTGATTGGTGGATTTGGTCCAGGTGAGTGCTGACTCTGCATGTTTTGGAAGGCTGCAGTGGTTCTGAGGGAGACACACTTTGTGTTGTGTGTATGGAGCAGAGTCCTCCCAGCATCTTCCAAGTGTACTAGAAAAACATACAAGAACAACAACTCTGTGTCCTTGTTGTCCACTGCTGCATGTTTGCAGTCAATCATGTTCCAGTCTTTAATGTAATCTGAGATGTTTATTCCACACAGAAACTTTTGTGCCCTGACCTTTAAAGCAGAGCTTTTGAAAAGTCAACTCGTGCTTTCTGCATCTGTATCACAAAGTTCATCATTGACCCGAGTCTGCAAATTTGTGACTGTGCCGACCGTACACGGTGCAACGGGCCGTCTGCAATGACAACGCTCCTTAAAACAACTGTTTGTTATGCAGAGAGAAAGCAGGAGGAGGTTCTCTGTCATCACGCCTCAAAACATAAGTGAAGTAGATGCTGCCAGGCTGTGCTTTCATTTGTACAAACTTTTCACCAACTTACCCCAAAAACTGTAAATTATTTAGAAATCCAGTTCAACATCTGTCCTCTGAGCTTGAAAATATCTCAAACAACAAAAAAATCTATAACCAACAGCTGCATCTTCCGAAAACTTCAAGAAGCTCTGCCTGTTTTTCTGTCTGACATGAGGGCCGACGAGCCCGTCTGCATGGCACTTATTGAAATATGAACAGAACCACGTGTGTGTCTGCTGCCTGCTGTCAAAGTCTGCATCAAGCAGAAGGCACGAATTAGCCCCAAAGAGTTCATCATGTTTCATCAGGTCATCACATCATTTGCATGTCAAAATTAATCTAAAAAGAAAACAGAACCAAAGCTGTCAAATAAAGCGGCTAGTGGGATAAAAAGTGCAGCATGTTTCTCTGAATTGCTTTGACGCACGACTACAGAAGTGGCCAGACTAGAAATACTCACAAGTACCTTCACATTACAGTACAGGACACATGTTAAGTAAGGTGTTTCTGTGCTTTTGGGTCACAGTAAACCTTACCTGTGTGCCTCTTTTTAGGAGACACAACTCAAATATTACATGTTCCTGACTGTTTAAAGGATATTGCTAATGGAGGAGAGCATTTTGGTGGCAGCTGGCGGGTGTGGAGACTGAGGTGAAAGGAAAAGGCATCAAAATACTGCAGCGAAAGAATATGAGGTTTTAGTATAGTGTCACAGTAACGTCCTGAATCAGAGGACTGTTTCTGTTGTGCAGCAGGTAAACAGCAGGAATATCAGACGAGCCATCACTACTGTGCCATCATAACTAGTCAGCAAGGTGGCTCGAGGTGTCTTGAAACATGCAGTGTTTATAAAGTTTTGGCAAAGCAAAGCTGAGTGCCACATACGAATACATGTGTAAAAATGATTTTTGTGTTTTCTAGAAGGCTGTAGTTTGTAAAAACTCATCTATACCACAGCACTCCACATCCAGAGGGAGTGAAGGTGTTGAGAGATGATACCGAGCAAAAAACACAAACAGACAATCTGGGGAAACCTCCCACTGCCCATTTAACTCCCAAACGCTCTGTTTTTCTAAAAGCCATTTCTTCTTTCAGCACTGAGCTCAAGAAGCGAAGCTTTGGTTCCTCTCGTACAGTACAGCAGCTCCTGGAGAGGCATTAATAGTGCATGACTCATGAATACATTTAGAAACCGAAACACAGAGAGAAGGCCGAGATGTGAAAAAGAAAAGATGGCCAAGGGAGCAGGGAGGAAAAACACAACACATAAAGCGACGCTAGCACCGCTCCACTTCTCTGCCCATCCCACTGCTACCTCCCTGGACCATTACCATCAGCACCGTTTTCCATTAGCCCGCCTCGGCCACTCATCCGCCTTCTCCTTCACTCCCGTCTTTCTTTGTTCTCGTTCTGCTTCGTGTTTTTCTTTTTGTTCTGGTCCCACCATTCAGTCTGCAGCCTGTCTTTCCTGTCGCCTCTCTTATCGAGTCCTATATCTCTCCCTCTCTCTCTCATTTCATATCTCCCCATGTCTCTCGGTCCCCTCTGTGTGCCCTCATTCCTCACCCTGTCATTTCCTGTGGTCTCTGTAATCTATAACCCCACCTCGTTGTCACTCCTCCCTCTCTGCCCTCCGTCTCTTACCGTCTCTTCAACAAATCACTTCAGAGATGGGCGAACAGCACATGCTCACACTGGAGCCGGTTATCAGCAAATGGGGCCATTAATAATGCCCTTGTTTGCATTAATTACGTGGAAGGCTTTTGGCTTCAGAGCTGAAATATGGGTCTGTCTTCTGCTCATAGGTACTTTGATGACCTAATCGTGGCTATAAACGTCAAAGGTCAAAGCTTTAAAACGTATAATTTAACTATATTGTGAATTAAAGATACCAAACTGTTTATGAGACACAGTCCATCAGGCTCCGCTACAATCGGTCCATTTGCAATTAACAGAATTGTTATGTTCATGACGTGTCCGTGTTTCTCATTACAGCTCACTCAATTCTCTGAAATCTATCAGCCTTCCTGTGCTGTTAAAGGAAAACTTAATGATAAATGGTAATGATAATAATAAATGAGCTACACAATATGACACTATTCCTTTAAGAAGAGCAAAAATAAACACGATTACTGTACAGTACACGCAAGAATGTACATGCATGAATTTCAGTGTTTAAATATATGCAAATTAAAACAGGGTTGTGCTGCTGTTGTGTTATGCAACAGGCCTACATGTACAGTATAAATAGAGCATTAGACGGCCTTGTCCAGATGCAGATGTTCAAGGATAAAGGCTGATTAATCTGGTGCTATTGTTCAGGCTCTTCATACAGCGCCCACTTGAGCTATGATAAATATATTGTTGTCTCAGCCTCCACCCAGAAAACTTTGATTTAGCCTTTGTGTGTGGTCCTGTGATTTATTTAGTTAATACACAGTTTAGCTCTTAAAAACAAACAGTAGGGAAAGCAGCTTCTTGAAAACACAAACAGCAACATAAAGGATCTCATCTAAACAAATGAAGCGGCCTTACATTACAGGAACAGCTCCTGTCGTCACTCACCCGAACAGCGAAGTTGCATTTCCCCTTGCGTACAGCCTCCTCGTCAGCCTGCCACTGGTGCGGTCTGCTGGCCTCGGGCACATAGGTGGGCTTCTTCCTCCTCAGGCTCTGACGAAGCTTGTTCATCTCCGGGGTCACGTGCTCCCTGGTACTGTGGACACACAGAGGAAAAACTGGTTTAGACACATTATCTGTGCTGTTTGATATTCAACACAATCAACTGTCCCCTGTAAGACACACAAAAACAACAACAAAACAATAAAAACAGCATTCACTTGCTCTTAATTTAATAGAAAAGCTCATTTAGAAGCAATTTAAATGCAACAGCGCCACACTGTAATTTAAGGAAATACCACTTGAGAGCTTTGTACGGGGATTATGAGTGAAGAGGGATGGATTTCATTGATGAGCTCGAGCTCATTATGCAGTAATCATCCCTAACAAGGCAGTCGGTACATTAGTGCCATAAACACTTTCCACCACGATGTTGCATTGATTCTCTATTCAGACACAGACTGAACAAATCACACAGGTAGAACATTAATGAGCACAAAGCAGGAGACGCGCTTTCATCTCTCCAAGAAACAGCCAGAGCGCTGAGCGCATGCTGATGAGCACACATGTGTACACACTTCCATCCATCTCTGAACAATCCTCTCTAATTAGACCATTCAGCCTGCTGGCTTGTTTAGCGGTGCTAATTTCCTCGCATAATGAAACATGACGCCATCAAAACATGACCTGCTTAAAAATAATAATTACTGTTTTCATTCCTCCACAATCAAACCCCTCCCTCAGCAGCACGATAAAAAAATCTCAGCTCGTGTACGTCCTCAACGCCAGATTAACTGCATCATCATCAGCCTGTTTGTTAACAAAAAGTTTCAAATCCGACTTCATCGTCCCTCTCTCCTGTTTTTCTTTGTGCTCGATCTCTGCACAAACGAGTCCCTTTTCTCTGTATGAAAACATTTCGGAGGTCTGATCTGATGAGATGTGCAGCTCCAGCTCTTAAATCCACAACATCAGAGCAGAACTCCTGCCAACACAGCAAAATCTAGACAAGTGTTACGAAATAAAACAATAACTGTGGAGGGACATTCATCTCTGTCCCTCTCTGTGTTTATTCCTCCATATCTCTTTGGTTAATCAGAACAAAGACTGAGCTTGTATCATTTTCTTACCATCTGGTTGCTCCATAAACCGGCATTCTGGCTTTTACAGGGTGTGAAATCACACTAAAGTTAAACTGAAGACATGTAATGTCCATGAGTACAGCAGAGATCTGTACACCAACAGATAGAAAACTTGTGTCTGCTCTGCCGCACACAGGTCGGGGTTTACATGCACATTTATACACAAACAGACACATAATTTCTCATAATCGCTGTTATGTTGCTGGTAACGGTGCCAGAGGCTGGTGTGTCGGAAGTGTGTGCAATTAGACGTCCACACACACACATTCAGACGTGTGTGTAATGTGCAGTATTCAAATGCAACAGCTCAAGTGGCTTTACTCATTCCTGGCATGTGAGGCATGCGTCCTCTGCCAAGAGCAGGCGCACACACACACACACACACAGAAACACACACACCCACAAACCCCTCTGCAGCCCAGCGTGCACACATGTCGGGGCTTGTGCCAGTCATTTCTGGGCAGAGCGCCAGGTGACTGGCACCTGGCAGACACCAGCACTGCTGTGGCAGGTGTGAACGCGTGTGTGTGATGGGGTAAAAGCAAACTGGTGCATAACGCCCCACAAGGGAGGACGGAGGCAGAGCTACGGGGGAAAAGGAGGTGCTGGGTAGGGGAATACACGATGCCCTGTAACTGCCCTCATATGGTTTGGGACAGCAGGAGAGGAGGAGGAGGAGTGAGCGAAGAGGACTGGCGTCTGATGTCAGGCCACTGGGGAGACTCAGAAATGATCTGAGGCTACTGGGACAGGTACAAAAAAAATCACCAGGAAATGGAAGGAATGAAGAACTGAGGTGAGAAAATTAGCAACACACCAAATTATCCTGCTCATCACCCGTCAGTCATCTGCTTCTAATAAAATGGAAACGAGTGGGAGGTGTGAGAGCGGTTTGACACAGTTTAACGGGCCAGCAGACAGACAGAGCAACGAACCGGCAACGACGCAGGATAAAAACATCAGACTGCACAACCGCCAAGCTCAGCAAAATCCAATTACCTCCGATTAGAAGTATCCACAGCCTCTCTGTTTTAATTTCTACATCTTTCTGTACTAAAAGTTGACAGTGAGATTAAGATCAAGTCCAATCAAAGAACTTCTATTTTTGATTCAGCGATGCTCAGTGGTCAAAGAATCTGAAACAACTGAGGGATTTTTAGAACACGATGTAAATGATGTAATGGTGCAGACGCCGTTTGGTCAGAGTGTTCAGCTTCAATCACATGTTGGAACAAATGAAGACAGAAAGAAAACAAGTGGAGGAATAAGAAACGAGGTGAGAAAGTCGTGTCATAACATTCCCAATTATCCATCAGCTCCTCCACAGTGGAAACATAACAGGTCGAAGCTCAACAGTCACACATCTTTTGTTTAACTTTGAAGCTGATGTAAACTGTGAAAAATACAGCTTTTAAAGATTACAGCTGTGTATTGATTAGTAAACATCTGGAAGAATGTGTGAGCAGCATTAATATAAAATGCTATTAAAGCAGAACATCTTGGGAAATCTGCTCTCCTGCAGATTGAGTTACATGAAATCTATTCAGTTTGCGTACACCAGCACCAAGAGCAGAAACTGGGGGGGTTGAGCCAATTTGGCTTTGCCCAAGGGTAACAAAATCTACCTACCAGCACCTCCACTTGCTATGCAGCACACTATGTCTTGTTTGCTAAACCCATACAAGTGTAAAAATGACAATTCTCCATACGGGGGATTACTTGCAGGATGATTTCTTGACCCTGAGCAGCTGCCAGGCAAGCGTGGGAGAGTCCAGGGAGACTGTGTCATGCCAAGAAATATCCAGAGGCATGAAGCCATTTATATTTCAGAAAATCTTAGATATTTCTTTGTGTATTGAGTAAACAAATGAGATGTAGCCGAACATGTCAATTAATGGAGGTCCTGGAAGGTGGGTTTTGAAGAAAATCAAGTCTTTTGCCTTGTTAATAAGCGCGTGGTGTGTTTTTATGAGCTCAAAGACATCCCATGAGAAAACAAATACAGTCAACACCATGGCCAGTGTTTCTACTTTACGACTGCTGTGTACTAACGACGGCCTCAAAAACATGGATCAACAAACAAAAGGAAACAGTCCAGTCAACCTGCAGCGTGCCACTTTCTGCATCATTATTCTTCCTACGAATCACTTTCCCCTTTGATCACATACGGCTGGAATCCTTGTCCGAGCAGAGTTTTAACACCAGTGTGATACTTTCTGCATGCACGAATACACAAATGTCCACCCACACCAGTTGATCCACATCTGTGCAGCTCAAAAACTACATGACAAGACCAGTAGCGTGCACTTTGGCAGCAGAGCGCATGTGTGATACGACTTGCTGCGTGTTCATGCGACCATGCACATGTCCACACTAACGCGTGAGTTAGCTGGTGTGCTCGAGATGCAGCGAGTAGAGAGAAGATCCTGGGACTTCCAGAGTTACATCTAAGCCATTTTAAGGCAGAAAGGGATTGTTTTAATCTGGAAAAACTTGTAAATATGCAATTTTTAATCACAGAGATTAGTTTTAGGGGTTTAATCAATGACCTCAGAGTTAGAACTGTTTCCAGTCTTTATACTGAGCTAAACTAGGACTAAAGTCTCTAAGCTAGGATGTGCTCAGATGTGGGCATAGTATCAGCCCTCTCATCTGACTCAACCACCAGAATGTCCTCATTTAATTTCTTTAGAATACAGACTTGTGTTGTAAAAATGTTCAAAGTGGAGGCTTCTATGGAAAGACCTGCTTTCGCTTGTGGTTCTGAGTAACAGAGATCAAAAGCATGTGTCTACGGCACAATACAGAAATAAAGTCCACGTGTGGATGTGGAGCTGTGATTCCATCCAGACTAGACTGACAGTACAGGTGAAAACAAGCTGACAGTTGTTCCCTGCTGAGCACCACAGCGTGAAATGAACAAAAACCTGGTAGTAAACCTCCCTGATGGAGAGAACTCATTAGGGTGGAGACTCTACCAGGCATGCAGCATGCAACGAGGCCCTGCATAGCTGTGACCTCACCCCGCTCAACACAAAGCATGTGCATGAGGACAGAGAGACGGCAGACAGAGGGGGGTGGGCTGGGAGGCAGGCGAGGACGCACAGCATCAAAATACATCTATAAATCAGCGGTACGAATGAAGTCCCACTCTGGTCACAAACCCACACCAAAACTCATAAGCACTTCAGTGGAGTCTACACAAACAAGACGCCTGGTGCCAAAAAACACATAGTTGTCCCCCATCCAGTGTTTGAGTTAGCAGCCATCTGGAATGTATTGTTGCAGAGGCGATGGCAAGAGGCACCACTTACACTCATATGATGTTATGTCGCAGACATTCAAATTCGTTCACCCGAGCTGACCTCCCTTCATCGCCGCTTCCTTCCCCGGTCGGTCCTCCCTATTCTTCTTCTTCACTGGTGTTTACACTCCAGACCTCCTCTTCGCTCTGCTCTCGACCAAAGGATGCAACGACGGATGCAGAAAACGGGCCTGGAGCTAAATGTCGGCAGCTCCGCTCATGTGAATGTGAGGAAATGGGTTTCACAGGGACGAATCTAGTGTGAAAAGTTCGCCTACGCGTTCAGACTAATAAAATGTGGTGAAAAAAAATGTTTTGTACATTTTGCTCCAGCTTGTTAAGTTGGTATTTTAACTGTTAGGTGGGTCTTACTGACAACACGGGTGTGTGTGTGTGTGTGTGTGTGTGTGTGTGTGTGTCGACATAATATCAGCTAATTAGCCTGTACATAAACAAGAATTATAAATTTCACATGTCATGTACTGGTCCGTGTGTCACCTTCGTATTCACACCACATAATCTGAGGTGGGCCTACATGTGCGTCCAGCTGTGGTTCGTGCTCGCCAGATGTGCGTCTGATTGATATCGTTGGCACTCGGCCTCACTTTCACACACACACGAGGCCCCTCCCTGATCCAGATGTTCAACAGC